CCCAAACTGCCATGTACTGTCTAAGCCTTCTCCTGGGAGGGGAAAGCCTTCTGCAGACTCCAGTTCCAAAAGCCAAGTCAGACAGATTCTGCCTGTGTAGATTCCTGGTGCTTCTTACTCTTGCCATCTTCCCCAAATCCTGTTTAGCTTTACCCCTTTACTGATGTTTTCATGTAATTTTGGGAGGGACTGGGGTCTGTTTCCGTTTAACCCACAACCTTTGCTAGAAATCACGGTTTACACCAAATTTCTATGTATTTTAATATACACCTAGACATTCCTGATTCTTTTTCATTGCTTTTAAGAAATCCATTTCTATACTTAAAACAGAGGTATTTAATGTTAATGTATCTGATGAGTACCTGAGAAGCTAGGAGGAATCTAAAGCTGTTTTTCTTTTCCTTTCTAATGGTTTGTCCTTATGTTTGGTAACTTTCTACTGTAAATTCCTATTTTGTTGAATTTTATCTGTTGGACTGAGCAGGGGACATGGAGAGAGGGAGGCTTGCCTCTGCTGAGAGCCAGGGCTGTCACCAACTTCGGCCTGCTTCAGACTCCCAGGTCCCCAGCTTGCTGTGGGAGCCCTTGGCTCCCCCGCTGCCACCTCACGGAAGGTTCGAGGCTTAGTCTCCACACCTGGGTGCTGACTCAGGCGTTCAGCCTCGGGCACCCCACCTTTCCTGTTTGCTTGCACTGTGCAGGTTCTCTATTCCAGTTAAAGTTCCTGTTTCTCTACTCACCTTTGACTTTTCCCTGTTTTCGGTAACTAGAGCAACACATTAAAATTGTATTTGAGTAAATTTTTGCGGAAACAAATTGGCGTTTTTGGTGGTTGGGGCCTTCAAAGCAAGAAGTCCAACACGTGCCTGAAACAGAGTCTGCAGTATTTAGTTTAACCCAATCTGCTGTCTTAATCTTTAAAATATATTAAACTTACTGCGGTGACATTGGTTAATGAAATTAACCAATTTCATTATATAGGTTTCGAGTGTACAATATATGTGAATATTGCATTACCATCCAAATTCAAATGTCACCACACATTTGACCCTTTACACTCTTTTCTGCCCCCACCCCCTTTTCCTCTGCGAACCACCATACTGTTGTCTGAGTTTTTGTTGCTGTGTTTTAATATCTCACCGATCATTTCTTTTTTAAATAAGGGTTTGTCCTGCTTACACTTGGTTTTAGTCCTCTATTGTTGTTCATTTTTGAGGTTTCCTTTTCCTTTTTCCTTTTCTAAGTCTGGCGACATTTCTATTTCCTCTTTCCTCGTGTGTCATAAGCACTAGCTTTTAACTCCACTACTAACTTCCTATTCCCTTTGGTCGTAATTTAACCCTATTAACTGGGCAGAACTGAACTGGGGAGGGCCGAGTTTGGAGGCTCTCCGGTTTGGGTGGGTGTCCAGGTTCCACACTGAACCGGGGCTGGCTAGGATGCCATCCTCGATGTACTTGCCAAGATAAAGAAAAACAGTCATGGAGATAAGAGACTGACAAGTGGAGAGGGTGAAGGGCTCAGTGGGAGCACAGCGGGTGGGAAGAAGGGTCAGCAGGGAAAAGAGCCAAGCAAATAAAGGCAGTCTGGCTTGTAAAGGGACAAGTTATGACTTCATGAAAAAAAAAAAATTGGAGAAAACCATGTTCTCTTGGTCTTCATATGGAATTATCTATGAACTGGCTAGGAGAAAGCATGCTCTAAAAATCATTCACCTCCCAACACCCCATCCACTCATGCATCCATCCACTGAATTCTCCGTCCTTCCATCCACCATTCTATTCATTCACCCGAACATCCACCACTCATGCACGGACCTACACACCCATTATCCATTCAGGCACTTGGTGATTTCCTAAGAACCTCCTGGGTGCAAGCTCAGTTCTGGGAACTTGGAATGCAGATAAATCAGATTTGTCCCTGCCCTTGCAGATGTCTGGGGGAGAAATGGAAGCTCTCTATGAGCACAGACTGCTGTTGCCTACACAGAAGTGGCTCCCCAATAGGACTTCCAGCTCTACACTCATATCCAGCTGCCTCCTGGATCCCCTCGCACCTAGATATGTCAAAGGCACCTCCAACTCATCAGGTCCTAAGCTAAACCGTCTTCTTCCCTTTTTGGTTCCCAGTGTCTTAGCCTCCCACTCAAGATTCAAATGATTCTATTCTTGCAGCTCGTAAGGCTCATCAGGTCCATGGACCTCAGCCTTGCAGATGAGGCCCTACTGCATCCTCCAACCGCACCCCCACCACCCACTGCAATCTAGAGTAGCTGTCGTTTCCATGTTGTTTCACTTCACCCCACCTCACCCCCACAAATTCCTATTTAACCTTTAAGAAGCTGCCCTCCAAGTCTCCAATAATTTCCTCCCTCTAGAGTGCCGCCCTTCTGCCCTGTGTCTGCTTTGGTCTGGGAGTTCCTGTAGGGTGGAGACAAAGTCAGAGCAAGACTAAGCTTACCTATAGACCGGTGCAGACCGGGGGCTCAAAGGACCTGGTGTGGGGCATGAGCAGATCATCCCTTGCTCACTGGGTCTATCTGGAGATGGTTTAGATGGCTCCAACCCTCTCAGCTACAGCTTCACCCAAGGCCAAGTTAGGGGGGACTTGAGATGCCATCCCACGATTTCTGTCCACCATCTAAACACCCTAAGTATTAGTTCTTTGTGGTAGAACAGGGGAACAAAGTGTTAGCTTAGGCGAGAGCCACAGGGTCCAGGCCCCCATGTGGCTATATTACAGAACCTTGGGCTAGAGTCCAGTGCCCTCATTCTCTGGCCTTGTTCCCCCATTTCGTGTTACCTAGTACCTGTGCCACCAACCCCTGTGGAAGCATCCTTTTCCTGTTACGACTATGGGGGCAGACACAGCCCAGCCTTACCCACTGGTCTTGCATCCCTCAGTCCTCACCCTGGGCTAGGGATGAAATGTCTCCAGTATCAGCTCAGGGCTGTCCCATGGGGATAGTGACGAATTTCTCAGCTAACTCAACCTGCTGGATAGGCAACAAGCAGACCTAGCTAGTGGCAGGTGCTACTTGCAACTGTTAGGGAAGCCCAGGAGGGGCCGTGGTCTGTCCTCGGCCATTGACCTAAGCATCACTGCAGAATGAGTGCTGCCACACCAACC